GAAGGTGGTTCCTGGGGTGCCAGAGTTCATTCCTGTGTGCAGAACCCTGCTCAGCACAGGAAGCTGTGGGAGGGCCATCCTGCTGCCCCAGCTGGGTGAGAGCCTGTGCCAGGCTGCTCTTACCCTGTGTGACTCAGGTGTCCCTCACTCCTGCTCCCACACACTCGCTGGCCTTTTCCTGCCAGTTCTGAGAGGCCACCTCTCACACAGCCTGTCCCTCTTGAAAGATATGATAGAATTCCTTTATCTCCCAATGCCAGGCAAGCCTGGGATGCTCAGAGGTGCAGATAACATTGCTGCTGTGTGTACCAGGGGCTGGGCAAGGGAGCAGGAAGCCTCTCTTCTCCCTTAGCACTCAGCAGGACACCCTGATCATGTCCCTGCCCTTGCTTTTATTTCTGGGGGATCCCGTTTCTCTTTCCAACAGTTAGCAAATGGCAGTGCAGCCCTTCTGGGTCCTGGTGACCTCCTGGCTGTGCAAAGTCCTTGAGGAAGGGGCAGCAGCCAAAGCCAGCTGGCAGGGGGTCTGGTTACAGCTCCACCAGGAGCTGCAGGACTCTGGAGCAGGGGTGGCCTGGGAGGATGGGTGGGTTCAGGCTGCGGTGCAAAAACTGGTGGAGAAGCCAGGAGGTGCATGAAAAAGCAGTTCATGGCTTGGCAAAGGAGATAAGGAGAAACTTGATCCCTGCCTAAACAATCAAGGTTCTTGTTCCTTCAGGTCTGCCCCTCCAGGGGCATAGTGCAAATGTAAATGTCCAAGTATTTATGTGCTCTGGTATAAATTCAAAACTACTTTTGGTACAATCACAGAAGCAAGAGTAAAACTGTAGTCACCATTAGCACAGAATACCTGTGATGCTCCCATCTAATACCAGAAGGCATTTTCCTGTGATATTTTACAGTGAGAACATAAAGCTGGCATCTTTCAGTTTTGTGATTGAAAGATGTTTACAACAACAAAAATATGTGGGAATTCAGTATTTTCCACATCATCGGATTAAAAGCCCATCTCTCAACTCACTCACTGTTCCACCTAAGGCTTTTACTGCACCTGTCTTCACAAGCATGGGAGCATTCGTGTTTCGTCTGTCTTTTTGTGGCCAGATGAAGTAATCTTGGAGCATGGGTGCGGTGGTGAAAGACACACACAGTGAATTTACATCTCTTGGATAAAAGGAGAAACCGAAGAAAGATTTCCCCTCTGAGCTGGCTTTTATCGTCAGTAGTGTGAACATCTTAGTCAGCACAAGCTCAGACTTCTAAAATTGTGCAGCCGTGTGCTGTGAGAACCTCTGCAGCTTCCTGCTTCCCTGCATCAGCCAAGGATAAAGGCTCCAGGAGCTGGTGCTCCTCTGGCAGGAATGGCTGAGCCCAGGCCAGGTGAGTGGCAGGCTCTGAAACTCTGTGTGTGACCCTGCTCCTCTGGAATGTGGGAAAACACCCTCCCATTTGATTTCAACAAATCACCTCAAGCCAGATCCTGTAGCATGTTGAGAATCAGTGGATATAGACTAGAGAACAGAATTAGCTGGGAGAATCCTAATGTTTTGTGAAATCATTTCCATGACACAGATGTGATACCAGAATGGGATGCTGCATGTTTAAGTACTCAAGTCTCCAGGAAGCAAGAATATGCAGATACTCTGACTCACTAGAAGAAAAATTACTTGTAGTGACTCAAACACTTGGATGCTGTGGATTCCTAATTAATCACTGTGCTCCACCATGGGTCCAAAATCCTCCTTTCAGGATCAGAGAATGTTTGTGGCCTTGAGGATTCCTGCTCTGGTGCAGCTGTCTAGGTGGACAGATTAACCTCTTGCTGCCTGTTTGCAGTATGGTCTGCAGACCTAATTAATTTCTGGGCTGGTAGCAGAAATGACCTGGTAGGCTCTGAAAGCTCGATGATGGTAGTTTTGCCTAAAAGAGGGACTTAGCAGGGAACACTTGGTTGGGGTGACCATGTGACTTGAGGAATCCCCAGGAAGGTCTGCTGCAGGTTTGGCAGCAATCTCACGGCCAAGGGGCTGCAGACTCAGACTTTTCTGGGAGGAGTCTGATCCAGTGGTGTGTTGGTTGGAGCTGGGAAACCCTGGGGAACCCTGCAACCCTGCCCTTCTTTTGCAAGAGAACAGTACGAGGTGCCTCCCTCTGCCTTGACGTGCCTGGTCGGCTGGGAAGCTGTTCCCGTTGGGCAAAAGGTGAAATTTATGTCTTTCATAACTTTGTGTTTGGATTTTGTGCTGTGCTCATTTTGTACAACGTGGTACAGAACACGAATATTATGCATTGAGATAGTTCATCTCCTCTGCCCTAAGCCCAAAGTGCATGCTGCTGTCACCACAGGAAAATAGTGTGACCACAGAGGGAAGAAAAGAATGCTTCTTTTCAGAGTTTGTGCTAATTTTGCCCTTAATTGGTATGTTACAAACCTAGCAAATCATAAATAAAACCTGAGTTTTCCTTTTTCTAAAACTAGGTCTTAAAATATAACTTGACTTAGATTTGAGTTGAAAAGGCAAGCTTTTGAAAGAGATGAAGCATGCCCTCATGTGGCAATATTTTTTCCTTATAATACCTGTTTGTTTTGGTTTTAATCCCCAAATAATCTATTGCAACAAGTTATGTCATGACGTCAGAGCTGGCATACAGCATGGGTGTTGTGATACAAAGCTGGTGTGCACACAAAATGTTCAGAAATAATTATATGAGTTCTAACTCTCCTGTTACTTGAGTCCCTGCATGAGTGCTTTTATTCTAAAATAAGACTAGCTCCACACAGGAGTTCACAAATAAACAAAGGTGTGAAATAAAACTTGTCCTGTCCTCTGCTCTGTGGGGAAGTAATTTTCCACAACTGAGAGCAAAGTTTAAAATTGTTACAAAGTGGACAACTTGGTTTGAAACCAGAATAATTGATTTTGAAGTCAATTTTAATCTAAACCAAAATAAACTGAAAATTAAATACACATTCACAGAGCTGGCGTGAATAACTCACTGTAAAAATCGTGGTATTTGTTGAGCTGCTAGAACTTCCTCATGTCTATACAAGGTTTGCAACTGTGTAGATAAACTTTTGAAAGCCTGGCTCTGCTGTAAGTTTTACATTTTTTGACACATAAAGGTTGGGTTTTAAAACCCCAGCTGACATTTCCCAGCTTGATAAATAGGGAAGTTTTACTCTTTCCTGACACAGCATTGTCTGCTTTACTGTAGATCAATTTCCTGTTTTTTCTTTCCTGAACTTAATGTAATTCATAGAAATTACTGGGTCCCAACAGCTTATTGGGATTTTTTATAATATTATTTTTCAGTGATTACAGATGGATTGGTATCTTTTATCCAGAGCATCATAAAGAGTAAAGAAAAAAAATATATGGTGATCTTGGGAAGTCTGACTGGGGAGCGTGTGATGGAGGCCATCAAGTTTCAAACTTCAAGGAAGCCTTTGAAACCCCAGAGTTTCCAGTGTGCTGCCTGGTCACTGTTTCCATCAGCTGGCCCTTCACCAGATTCCTGGGAAGATGGCACCAGGCAATCACATGCACCACAGGCTCCCTGAGGTTCATGGTCTTCCTTGCAGAGCCTTGCAAAGCTTGCAGGATGGTTGGGGCTGGCTGAAGAGCAGTAGGAGTTGCTTTCTCATCTTCCTCTCCAGGCTACATTCCCTGCTAATACAGGCAGCTCCCTCCTGTGCTGAGGGTAGTTTCCATGGAGTCAGGAAATATGAGAAGCAGAGAAGTGGGAAACTCTGGATCCACTAGACAAGTCTCGCTTCTCCTTGGGGGCCTGAATGTGTGTGCAAGCTGTGGGTGGTCTGAATTTTGGGTGCTTGAGCAGGAGGCTTTGGATATTGGTGTGGATGTCCAAGTTGCTTTGAGAATACTTTAGGCTGAATGAGAAGTGAATTCCCTAAATCTCTCCCCTAGGGTCTCACTGACTTTCAGCAAAACCACCCCTCAGAGGCAGCTCAGCAATCTTCAATTCATGGAGTTGATGCTCTGCTATCGAATTCCATTTGAAAAGGTTTTTGTGCTGTAGTCTGGTGGCTGGTTACTTAACTGGTGCAGCTTACAGACCTCCACTGGCTGTTGCACGTCTTTTAATTTTTAAGGGTTTATTTCAGCTCCTTTGTGAAGTGTAAGGAAATGGATGATTAGCAAAATTCTTCCCAGTATTTTAGAAGCATTAGTAAATGTTGAATAAAGGGCAATCGCACTGTTGTTTTCATGGGAACTGTGAAATAAAGACTGCTAGATTAGGTGCAATCCTGATCTTAAAGTCACAACTCTTACACAATGTTTTTTGCACTCTGGTGCAAAAACTCGTATGTGAGAATGTGTGCTAGCAATGAGCCAAGTAATTCTGCACTGCAGGAGTCCCACCAACTTCATCTCCAAGCTGGTAATGAACATGGGCCTGGACACGTCCAACTGATGTGTTTGCCTGCAGAAATTATCTATGTACAGTCAATGACAGCAGTGTCCTTCATATGCTGGGTTTGATGCAGTGAGCATACGTGACACTTCTGCTTTGCTTCCTCTTCTTAGCTGTGCTCTGCCTTCTGTAATCTAGCCAGAGACACCCTGTTCCTGGGAAAAGGCACCCTGTGCCTGGAAAAAGGCAAGCTGGGCAGCTGTGTTGGAGAACTTGTGTCATCCTCCAGCAGCTAGCTGATCCCCTGTGCCTTGCTGCTCTTTTGCACAGCTTCAGTACCTGAGCCAGTGTGTTTCCAGCTGGCAGTGGTGTGCCTGAGCAGGGCTGAGCAGCAACTGCTTGGAGGACCAGAGTGCTGTGGTTGGAGCAGAGGTGCTTGCTGATGTAGCTGACTAGATGAACTGGTTGACTGGTTAAATACTGGTGGCAAAAGAACTTGCAAATCTGCTTTGCAGAACTGGGTGGGTCTCAGCCACATCCTCACTGGCTTCGGTATTTGTCCTCAAGCCTGATTTCCATTTTCTGTACACCCTTTGCTTTCTGTTCTCCTTCTTTTTCGGCAGGAGATGTCAGCCAGTAGGTTGTGGCAGCCTGTCAGAAGTGACTGGAGACCTTTGTTGGATGAATAAAGCCTATCCACTCCCTGTCCAACCTGACAACAACAACACAGAAGGCATGGGGCACCCAGTCACAGTCCTGCTGCTCATCTTTCAAACTGCAGGAGATGAATAGCAATGTCACCCCAGGACACACCACCCTGGAGGCACTGCCAGGAGAGTCATGGCAACATCTCAGCAGGTGGTTTTCAGGTGAAGAGCACTTAAGGCCATGGCTGTGAATGCTCTCTCTTTTCCCAGGCCCTTCAGCAATTTAGAATGCTTTCTGTTCAGGTGCATCTGAAACAGGTATTACAAGGTACACAGCTCCTGCTGCTCCCTCTGCAAGGCTGAGATGCAGGGCAGGTATTCCCCCTCCCTGAGGGGCTTCACCCATGTGTGCTTCCTGCACTGTGGGGCTCCAGCCTGTTTGCAGAGATGGCACACTGGCCATTTTTGATGGCACATTCACCATTTTTGATGGCACATTGACCATTTTTGCTTCTTGCTGTACACCGGCAATCCCTGGCTGCTCTCCCACTGATGTAGCTCACTGTGCCTGTGGGATGTCGAGGTGGCAGGGGGAGGGACAGCAGCTGCTGGGGATGTGGGGAGGAACAGCAGGCTGCTGCCTCAGCCCTTCTGCCTGGGGGGATGCTGGCTGGAACGGTCAGGGGGGAAAGGGAAGAGATGCCTCCAAGAAGGAGCTGGGCCACTATGCTCACCCTCCTCCAAACCCATCTGCCCTTGCTCATCTGCAAGGCTTTGATGCATGTAGACAAGTGCCAGGGAAGTTTAATCCAGCTGGCTAGGGTGCTGTTAGGCAGGGAATTGCCACCTCAACCTTTAATCACCTGAGCAAGTGCTAGGTGAGCCTGTAAAGCTCAGTCTGAAAATGATGGCATTGCAGAGAAAGGCAGAGGTTCTGTCCAGGATTGATCCTGGCTAGCAGCTCCCTTGTGAGGAATGGGCTGTGCTGCATGTACTCCTTCAGTCTGCTCAGGCCACTTCTGAGGGGCTGGTCTTGGAGTGGGTCCATCCCTGGCTTGCGGGAAGAGGAGCATTTGTCTGGGTCCTTGTTGGGGGAAATCCTGAGGGCTCTGAAGCATGTGGCCAGTTCTGCTTGTCTTCCACAATGTCCTACAACAGCAGGAATATTGTACAAGGAGGTGACTTGGGCAGTACTGAGAGTTTTCACAGCACGTGGCACACCCTCAACTGAAAATTTGCATAAATACCTTTCCAAGTAATGAGTATTTTCTAAATAGAATCAAAATCACATGAGAGGCAGGGAGGGGCATTTACGGGAAAGGCAGGTTTGCTACATTTGGATCTCATGCAAGAAATGGGATTAATACTGTCCACAAAAGTTAGAGCATGAATTTTAAGGGTCTGGTTGAGGAAGTTCCTTAGCACAGATGGAATGACCTTGATGCTTTTGAGCTGACAAAGCCAGTTAATGCCAAGAAGCAGTTTTTGTATCCATGGCAGGGAAGGGAGACCATTGGTCCCAATGACACCTCTTCAGGACACCTCCATGTGAGCCTAAGGGAGCAGAGAGATCCCCACAGGGTATAGTGATGATTGCTGTTGAAGATTGCAACCAAAACCCAGGAACCACCCTCTTTTTAAGACAGAGTTTGAGAGGTAGAGTTAGTTTATTTATAATTATCCACTTAAGGTCTTCCTCTCTAGTTGCTCTCAGAGCATTTTCCAGAGGACACTGCTATTCTTACCCTGCCTTATCCCATGGGGAAAAGCACAGCAGTAAGGTGGCTGAGCTGTGGTCAGTGCAAAGCCTGGTGAAGGAGGGATTGTGCTCTCTGGGATTTCAGCTAGGTGGTTGCTACCAGTTAAGTTACAAGTCATATAAAAATATCTGTTCTGTTCTCTTTATTTAGAAAACACCATTTCCAGCGAGAAGCGGGTAGAGTCAGAAATCCCTGCTGCTTCCACTTCTTTTCCCTACCAGTCTGCCTGTCAATTCCCTTTTACCATTTTACATGTGGTCACTTGATACCAGCAGCTGTTTTGGGACATCTCTATCCGTCACATCCTTCTTTTTATTTCAGTGTGCAAAAGTTTGAGTGCACCACAAAAAACCAAACCAAAGCAAAACAAAAAAACCCACATTAACAAAATATGAGTTTCCTCCCAGGTTCAGTTCTAAACACGTCACTTTAATGATGTCTAAACTATCCAGCACTTGATGAGCAAAACATTACTATCTTCTAGCCACATTTGTTTTCCCTGTCTCCCAGAGCATTATAGTCACCCAGGGAGAACTGCGTGTTCTACTTCGCTGCTGTAAAGCTATTATGGGTATGAAAAGTTCCCATTAATCTGCTCCACACATGGATGTTTCTGGATAAAGTTCAGTAGCCAGATCCCTCTTTCTTTGTGTGTATCAAACGAAGCAGAAAAATGCCTCCAATTTAAAGACACCAAATGAATAACCAAATAGATGAGATTAATTTTTGTTTAATCCACGTGGGCAGCGAAGCCAATGGCCAATGTTTGTGTGTGGACTTCTCCCGGGAGTTCATTACCAGCCGAGTCTGTAATAAGTTAATGCAGAGATTCCATGGAAATAGGGGGTTAATTATATGCAGAGGATGTTGGCCAATGTACAGCTTTGAACAGCAAAAATAGCCCAAGTCTTCTGTTTTGGATGTGGAATCAATTAACAAGGTCTGCGACATGTACCAGAATCTGTTAAGACACTTGTACTATAAGGATACTTATTTTCTTTTTTTTTTTTTTAGTTTAAATAAAAAGCTAAAGAAAATAAGTGGGTAATGGAAGGCAACGGAGAGAAAGACATGAGACTGGTAATAAAACACTGGACTTTGGCCTGGGGCCAAGGCAGTCTTTTCAATGGGTCTGAAGTTTGGACGGCAGCACAGTTTGAACCAGTTCTCACTAACTGTCCAAAAGGTTATACCGTAATAGACAGAGAGAGGAGGTTGATTTTAGTTTACCAACTCCCTTCTCTCTGCTGGCAGGAGTGTTATGCTGCTGAGATGCTGTAGTCATTACACTGACGGATATCAGCATGTGGCGTGGCGTGCTGCAGATTCAGCTCCGAAGCTGAAACACAAAAATTCTCCTTGATGCCGGTTGGCACAAACTTAATTTTTCCCCCTTCTTTCCACATCTGGTTTTAATAAAAAATGTGTCTTTCTGCGCTTCCCCCCCCCCTTGCCACATCTTTAGAAATGGCTTTTTTAAAGGAAAAAAAAAAAGTGTGTACATAGTGTCACTCCCCTTCCTCTGTATTCCTAGGTTTTAGAAATAATTGTATGTATGTGTGGTAGCTCAGTAGAGGAGCTTGGGAGCTGAACAGAGCACAGCATATGCTTTTGCAAAGGGATGTTTCATAAAAAAAGCAGAGGAAGACCAGATTACTTTTACTCTTTTACTTCAGAGCAGTGAAACACACTTTTGACTATTACAAGTTTTCAAGGAGCCACTTAAACAGGTAGAATACAAATTTGAAAGAAAAAGATCTGACCCTTTTTCAACCCGTTTCACTTTAGGACAAGCTCTGGGCATGTTCCAGGCATTTCTAAAGTCCCTCACTGTTTTATTTTTTTTTCCCCTCACCCTCTTCTTCCAACTTGGTCCCTAAACACATTAATTTGTTCCTAGAAGTTATCTACTTGTTTGTTGTGTTTTAGGTTTGTTTTTTTGTTGTTGTTGTTTGTTTTGCACACAGAAATCCTCAGACCAAAGCAAACACTGCCACAGAAAAATGTTGCAATTCAACCCAGTTTTGAGGGAAGTGCCCCTGATAACTTCTCAGCTCCAAAGAGAAGCAGTGGAGGCTGGGGCCACCGAGTCTCCATGGAAATCACAGAGGGTAAGGTTTGTTTAACTAATTAGTGGTAATCCTGCATAACTCTGTGGAGTGTAATTTATGGGGTTTCCACCAGGTTCTATGTTCAGCTCCTCAGGGAGTGCCTGGAGCCCTGGGTTTTGTCACACATGGACTCCTGGAGACTGGCAGGGTTTGGAGATCTGAGGGGCCAGCTAGGGCGCATGGCTTGAGGTCAAGTGCCCTCCAGCGCTCTGCATCTGGTGGTGGGCAAGCATCATGCCTGGCTGCTGTCCCAAAGGTACTCTTGGGATCCAGAATGCAGGCCAGGACGTGGGCAGGATGGACACCTGGCCTGAGGAGGCTGACTGCACGCGGGACCTTGGTGTGCCCCACCAGGGAAATGGACTCTGTCAGCAGGGGCAGTGCAGAGACCACCCTGACCTTTCACCTGCCTGCCTGGCTGCTTAGAGTTAAAGTGTTACCAGGGATGGCGGCTGCAGCCTCCACACAGCAGATCTGGTGTGACCATCGCCGCCCAGGGCCACCTGGGGACAAGGTCCAAGCACTGGGAAGGGAAGGGAAGGTTGTTTCTGTGGCAGCTCGTCAGGCAGCCAGGAAAGCAGGGCCAGGGAAGCCAGGCAGGAGGAGGATGTGACAGCAGGGCTCAGGTGACAAGGCCTTGGGCTGTCAGGGCCATGAGGAGATGCAAAAGCTGCAGGGCTTGTTAGTCAGGGCCACAGCCTGCCCAGGGAGCCCACAGGGCCCCAGCCTGCCAAAGGAGCACACAGGGCCCCATTTTGCCAAAGGACACAGTGCCCCAGCCTGCCAAAGGACACAGGGCCCCAGCCAGCCCAGGGAGCCCACAGTAAGAAGAAGGTTTCTTAGCCAGTGCGTGGGAATGGGCAGTGCCTTTATTTTGCCTGTAATGCCAGGGGCAGCTTCAGGCACTGTTACAGGTGCACTGAGTGCCAGCATTCAGCTCCCCAGGACCTGCCAGGTGTTGGAGCAGGAGCAGGCTACATCTGCTCTCTGGCCGGCCACAATTCTAAATGGAAAAGGTACTTCCCAAGTACCAGAGCACCACTCCCTCACTTATATCCTGGAACAGGTCCAATTAGGGTCATAACCAAGGGAAATGGGAACATCCAGCCCCATTCATGCTGTAAGAAAACACCACCTTTCTTTTGTTTTTCTGAACTATCTGGGGAGTGCCATAAGACAGGGGTCTCTACTGTCTGGGTCTTTTTAGATTTAGTTCTTCCCTGTTTAGGAGTGCTTTAGGATGGAATGACCTTCTGCTGACACGGTTGAGTAGTGCCATGTCCCATCCCTCTAACACAGCTGAAACCCTTCACAGAGCAAGAATGGGTGATGGCTGCCTAATTCCTCTGCAACCAACCTAAGCAAGGAAGTATAATTATGATAGTTATCGCTGGGGGATGTTTCAAAGGGAAAGCATGCTAGATACTTAGACTAAGCACTTAATTTTTTTTCTATCAAATTACTTCCAGCCCAGCAGCTAGCTCTATGTACATAATAGCTCTGTTGGCTTCAATGAGGTCCTTCAGTTAAGGTCAGCTAAATACCTGCCCCATGATAGCAGGCCACAGACCAGATGCAAGATGCCATGGTGTCACCTCATCCACTCCTTTCCTGTTCTGCTGCAGATTCCCACCCCACTAGCTCATTTTCAGCATTTGGCTTTGTATAGTTTTAAATTAATCAAGCTCCATCGGACTTTACTATTAAACCACTGTTCATTTCCCTTTTAAACCCCAGATTTTTGTTCACACTCTAATAAGAGCACATACCAATATTTTATCTTTTCTGCAGTGTATCCCCAGGCAGAAATTATATTGTAATAATAAACTGGCTAGCTTGTTTTAACAGTTCCTGGCTTTTGGCTTTATGCAACACTGCAGGTGTGATTCTAGTAGCAATACTGTAGGTGTGAATTATTATGTTAGTGTAATAGGCTGTACTTTATTGTGCTTTATTGCTTAATTGGCTTCTTCCATAAGGATTCTGCAGTTGTTAGTGGGAACTAATGCCAAGCTTTTCTGTGAAAAGAATGGTACTCTTTTTTTGGTGTTTACTAAGGTCAGTAATTTCAGTGGGTGACTGGCTTTGGGAAATGAAGGAAAGATGTCACTAAATGAATTCAGAAAGTGCTTACTATGTCCTTAATATAAAGCAGAGCAGGCTAAAAGATGCTCCTTGTTATGTGTAGATACTTGTAACCCCAACAAGCCCTTTGGGAAAACAGCTGGCTGAGCTTTCTGGCAAAGGAAGCCCTCTCCTATGCTCGGGGGATTCCCAGGTGGTGGGCAATATCTCTGGGTGGTTACATGCTCTGTGACCTCCTCTCCCCTCTCTATCCTTCCTAGCACTTTACTTTTTTCAGAAGATGGAAGATCAAAGTTTTGTCATCACAGCAGCACACAGGGTGATCCCCTTGCCAGTGCATCCCTGCAGGGGTGCACCCCGGGCAGGGGGCTGCCTTCCCCTGCCACATGGCTTGCCTGAAACATCGGGAATGTGGGCAGCCCTCCAGAACATGTGCAGATCCTGCCACCCTGCCTGGGAATCAAGGGCCAGGGAGGAAGGAGTCCCAGGGGCACCCAGATGCCCCACTGATGCCTCCACCACTTGAAACCTGAGACAACTTCAAAATGTGCAGCCACACCCTGGTGTGGGGACCAAGGGTGTTTTTCAGTGGTTTGAAATAATGAAAGCTGCTGCTCCAGTGAGTCACTCAAATTCCCACCATGTACTCTTGCTAAATGATTTCGCCTCTGCTTCCCTGTGCTCCCCAGCACTGTGCCTACTCATGCTGCTGAAGTTCATTTTTGGTCTCACACCTTCATTTAAGCCTTCTTCTGTTTGTCTGGAGCTGCAGTTTAGCAGACGGATCTGTATTTACTTTCAGCTGGGTGAAATATTTATGCCTGGCATCTTGTTTGCAGGAGTAGTGGGGTAGGTGATTTCCCAAGTGGGATCTTCATCACACAGAGTAGGAAACTTTTGTTTTTCCCTTCTTCTTGTGATGGTGTTTTCCAAAACTATTAATGCAAAGCAGGCCTGGGCAGTAGCTACAAAATATGGAAGTAGATCTAGATTCTGAAGTCACAGGGTTTCGCCTGGTTCCCCCAAAACACTGAGGCCATATCTGTGGTGGACGCTACCTTGCCCTACTGGGGATCAAACTGAAAATATGCAGAGCTGAAAGTGCAGTGCATGGACCATTAATGGTTGGGTTAACAGGTGTTAGCCATGCACAGATTGTCCTTTTCTATGGCTGAAGCAGGAAAAGTTGTAGTGCTCATTTTTTCCTTTTTCCAGGTCTCACCGAGTCCAACCCAAAGGAGAGGAGCGGGTTTGAGCTGTGTTTGCATATCTGGCCAGGAAGAGAGGACTCATGTCTGCCACAAAGGTCTCAGTGTGGTTTGTGCTGAAGTGGGATCCCACATCTGGGATCTACCCAAGAGCTACATCATCCTCTCTTAGAGATAGGAAAGCTTCATAAAGGGAAGACTTTGAATCAGGAGTCCGCTGTGCATTGCAACATTTATTGCCATGATTCACATACCTCCAGTGTTACTGCAAATCCGGGCAAAGTGTGAAATGATTCTCTCTCTTATCTTTGAGGAAATGCAACATGCTCCAACCATGCTGACTCTGAAAGTCAGCTCTACCCTGCTTTGGGCCACAGAAATTGTCAGGATTTTTGAAAAAGCTCAACAAACCTCAACACCACAGTCGCGCCAATTATTTTTGAAGTGATTTGGGAACAACTCAGGGTTTTTTCTTTTCACCTTTTGCAGCTACATAGACACCCTTGGAGTTCTGCAGGTACATACCAACTTATGAAGGAGCTGGAGGCACTAAGAGAGCTGGAACATGATGAATAACTGTCAAATTACAGGGAACACTTTAAAATGTCTTAAACCTCTCCCCTGCCCTGCTTCATCGTGGCAACTAGGACATGAGCCTTTAGCTAGGCTGTCTTTCCCCGAGGCTGTCCCTTCACTTGGGACAGGAGATGATCTGAAACCATGGGCAAGGGGTTCAGAATCTTCATGACAAAATCATGGTATGGAATAGAAAGAGAGACTGGGTGAGCTGCAGCACAGGGGATCATGCATGTGCCAGCACCAGAGTCTTCAGACTTTGATCATACCCACAGCTTGACTGCCAGATAAACCACCTGCTTTTGTTTGCACAATTGCAAAATGGCTCTGCAGCATCTCTAGCAATTGCTCAGAGAAGAAAGAAATACTTTTCTTGCATTCTTAGCATAGCAGGTGTTTTTAGAAATTAAAGGATTAAAGAGATGAATTCTGCATTTTATTTTGGCCCTTTGCAATATCCCTGCTCTGTGTCTGAAATGTTTTCTTCTCCAAAGAGACAAGCAGAAGTAGTCAGCTCTTTACAGACAGTGTTTTTAGGTTTATCAATGTTAAGGTTGTTTTCTTGTACACATTTCAGTACTGTTTTTTGTTTTACATAGCTGGGGGTACTTTGTTGCCCTGCTGTATTTAGCAGAAAAACTTAAGAAGTTTGTTTCTCACTCCTGTTTGCCATGGAGGCCTCAATCCCAGAGAAAATTGTAAAAGCAACTCAGTTAATCAAAGGTTAAACAAAATGAAGGAAGTTTGTATGGTGCCCTGAAGGTTATTAGACTCAAGGTCTGAGCAGCTGCCAAGGGGAGTGAGTTCCAGGGCAGGAGCATTCATCTGAGAAATTCCAGTTGCTGGACGTGGAGGGGTTGAACCTGGGATCTGCAGGCGCCTCCCAGCTGAGCTCGGCTGCCACGGCTGCCATGTGGGGAAGGACCTGTGTCCCCTCCCACGCTCCTGGTCCAGAGTGCAAATGGATGGGAAGGCACAACCCACTCTGTGGGAGGGCAATGGGGACTTGTCAATTGTTCCAGATGCCTGGCTGCTTCCATTACCAGCTGTGGTGTGAGCAGGGAGCTCTAAAATCCAAAGACAGGCAATTCCTGGGGGTCAGGGCTGATAAAAGGGCTCATGGAGCCTGCTACAAGGCACGTCTGGAAGTGGCACGGAGTCAAGAGGTGCAGCAAGCAATGCAGCGTGACCAGTGGTCAGTTTGTGTCCTCTGAGCTGCTCTCCATCCACGAATGTCTTTGCCTCCCTATCAGAGTGATGCTCTGGAGTGGCAGCTGGTTTATCTTCCACTTCAGCCCAATGTGGAGGTGGAATTGAAATCACAGGGTATGGATGCAAGATGGAAACAGGCAAAGTGTTGTCACATCCTTTCAACTTCCAAGTGTCTTCCAAGTGCCTCTTTCTGTGATATAGAAGAATTTTGACTAAATAAAGTCATTAAGTAAAAACTATAAAAGCAAATAGACATGTATCTGGGTATACCTACACTCTTATTTGTGAATGTTAAACAGAATGTTAAACCTTCCTATACATCAGTTTGTGTATCTGTGCAGCAGTCTTGATATTTTATTCCTCATCTGTGCCATAATTGCAGGAGTCCTTCATGCCAATGTAGACACTGATCTCACTGTATGTCAGAATTATAAAATATATGTGAGAGCTGGAATAATAAGAATGTGTGTTTTCTGAAAAAGTAGAAGGTTTCTGGAGGAGAAGTTTTCCCAAAGGGAGCTAAGTTTACAGATCTAACTCATTCAGGCCTTTTTCCTTCTGAAGTTGACGCACACATGCACAAACACACAGGCTCCAGTATCTATTTCATGGACACATTCTTCCCATCTCACTGTGTAAAGGTCTTGAAAGCAATAGCTACTGGCAGTACCCCAATTCAACATATCTAATAGGTCCTTCCCAGTTTCAAAATCACTAAGGACACACATGGCCAAAGGAAAGCAGGGCTTAAACTACCTTGCTGTCAGAAGCAATGGAACTAGCTGCCTGTCCTTGTGGGCTTGATTTGTGGGTTCTTTGTTTTTATAGTCTTGGTTTGCTGACTGCATCTCAAGAATTGTGTTGCTAGAGCAACTTAGTTAATCTAACTCCTGGAAGCAACTCCAACTCCAACTGTTGAATGCAGGACTTTTCAAAATCTAATAATACACTGCAGTGGGTTTTCATTGTTTCCCAAATTTTATGGATTAATAAGCTCCAGGTGGAAGGAAAAAAAGAGTAAAATTGATTATTTGTAAATTACCTCTGACCCAGGGGATCTGCTCAGATTTAGGGCATGGCCTGCCTATATACTTAGAGAAGATATTTTGGATGAACATCAAATGGCCTAACCCTACCGACTTATACAAAGCATTTCCAATTTACATCACCTCAGTGTTTGAACCTGATGTTATGTGTGCAGACATTTAACCAGAGAAGGGACACTGCCTCTTTTCAGCTCCACATTTGACCTTCTCAGCATTTGCATGTGATTGTGTGTGTACAGAGATATGGAAGTACATGTATGATCACAAAATATCCATGCTTTGCCTTGTTTTCCTGTCTGCTTGGGTGAGAAATCTTAGCTCCAGTAACTATCAGAGAAAACTTTTTGATGCAAACAATCGCTTGAGAAAACAAATTCCCCCAAAGTGGTCCTTGTGATTTGCACCTGGTCAGGACACTGTGAATCTCCAGGCTAATGGGAACAGAGTTTCTTACTGGCTGACAGTAAGGCCTAAATTTCTGTTAGGAGGGTTTTTTTGGGTTTTGTTGGTATTTTTGTTTTTTACTTTGCTGTCCCTCCTCACAATTGTCACACTGCTGCTCATACTTCCCAGCCTAGAGGAACCCTGTCCAGGCTTTATGTTAGTGGTTTGTATTCCTATGGTCAGCACAACAGTTCAGGCTTATTCTTTCCAACAAAATTAATTATTGTTAGGTTATCTGGGAGTTTGACTCAGAGACTGTGTTCCACTAATAAGCATAATTTTGAAGAGCTTGTGCTTAAAAAGAGTTGTTATCTACTGCTTACTGGCAGGTTTTGAATCTTACATCCCTGTTGAGATTGATTTCCTTTACATGCCTAATTACTGATGACACAGTTAGATATCGGCTAAAGAGATATCTTGCAACTGGAAAAAAAAAGGAAGAAAAAAAGCTTTAAGCCAAGTTCTCTTTGACTTAAACAGAAGGAGGTTTCATTTTATTTCTTTTAGTAAAGTCACCATGGAAGGATCCTCCTCCAAGAACTCAGCAATATGAGGAGTGTGTACAAAACAAGTCCAGACATCAAACAGGGCAACTCCCAAAATGTCTCTGCATTTGTAAACATGCATCACATCTGCTCAGCTTGGCTGTAAGCATGAAACATAAAACTTGGGATATCTGTCTTATTAATTTAAATGGATGCTAATTCAGGCTGTGGCTTGAGGAGATGGAGGATGCAGCTGCAGCTGGCTTTAAAAAGTGTTTCAAGAAAAAAAAAAAACAAGAGACCCTGAAAAATTAAATATGTTTTTATTTAGAAAAACAAGGGGGATCAGTTGCCTGATCTGATTTGTGGTACAACTGCCGAAGCACTGCTGACATTGTTAACCTTTTTCTGGGGTCAAACAACAATCTTTGATCCAAAAGATGTTCACTGATGATGAAAACATGGAGTGATGGAGAAAAGCTTCTGTGGCATTGAGATATGTTTCTTTTATTCCATAGTATGTGTGAAAATGGCGGGGGAGCCTTTATTGGGAGGAATATTGAAGCTTTATAACCACCACAGCCATGGACTGTAGTGGTTATATTCAGCAGGTGCATTTTTCCAACACCAGTATGAAAGCTTGCAGTGAGAATGGACACATAGTAGTTTGTATGGATGTAGAGTGGCACAGCTTATCCCTAAGTTAGAAATATTTATGTAAGTACAAACAAATAAATTTAAAAAAAATCCATAAATAAATGTATTATAGGAATATATTTTACTTAGTCAGTAAAGTTTTATATCAACATAGGTGCCTGGGCAACAGGGATAGCACTCTTAGAGACTACATAAACTAAACCAATATATATTTGATGCATACTTATATATGGACAACTATATTTGATACATAATTATACCATGGAGAGTGTATGGAGGTCAAGTCTGAGATGTGGTGTGAGTGGCCCAAGGTGACCTTCATTGGTTTAAATGTTAATATAATATTATAGTCACTATACTCCTGGCTGATATACCTTTTGGATAGAGTTGCTGGAAGAATGTTTTGCCCTGTCCCTCTTTTGCAAGTTACATCTCTAATATTTTACTGGCAGAGCTGCTGATCTGACTTGTCTCATGCAGTTCTGTCAAAATACCTACCTGCACATCTGACTATGAAGAAGGTGTCTGTCCATAGCCAGGGGCTTTTGAGTTGAGGCAAAGCATACTGAGTACAAGAATGAGCTGAACAAGACTGATCTGCACTTCCAAGAGTTTAGGGATCTGGAATTATTTAGAAACTCATTGAATCCATAAATGCAAGCACAGTTATCATGCCATCACTGGATTACTTTCACACACTGGTAAGTGTAAATATGGTCTCTCTCCCCTCATGTCAATATCTAGTCAGATGCAACAGCCAGGCACACTCTTTTCCATGTATAATGGTCTTCTTTGTAGAAAGAATTTACACAATTTTTGATGGAGAGACAGCAAATCTGTCACTAGCTAAACATGGAAAACACAGTTTTAGGAGTGCTGCAACCTCCTGGAAAATGTTTGGCTTCCCACTGCAAATACCCAGTACCATGTAGTGAGAACTCTGTGTGGATGTTGGTGGGGCAGAAAGGAGAAAGTAAGGCACATCCTAATGCAGAAAGTGAGGTCTGCTTCTTAAGGGTGCAAAAATGCCTTGACCTTTTGCCTTTGGCAAACCTCACTTTATACGTGTCCTGTGGCCTGTGTCACCTGGCCATGTCCCAAGCTCACCTCTAATATGGTTACCATTTCAGCAATGTGGTGTGTGCAAGTGTCCTGGGTGATTATCCGTGTGACAGCAGTACCCAGAGCCTTAAGCCAGGGCTGTAGCCCTTCGTGTTAGGCACAGAGCAAGTACACTGCCAGTCTCACTCTGAACATCTCCTGGCCTAGAAAGACTGGCAAAAGAGGAGGAAAGGAAAGAGAAGCAGCAGAAAAAAATTATCCAGGGTTGCACAGCGTGGAAGCAAGGCAGCAGAGGTTCCTGCTAATGGGTGGTTGCTGTTTTCCTGCCTTTTCAGCACCCAGTGTTGTGTCACTTAATGCAGCAGAAAGGTGCTCTGTGAAGGCTACATCGTGCTGTTCACACAACTGGTTTCCCTAGGGAGCTGTGGGCAAGAGGTTATTTTTGTTCTTTGGTTTTTCCCTTCACAGAAATGTTTGGTGCTCTCCAGAGTCCAACAGACTTTATCCACGTTGCTAATGATTATTTCTATTCAATGTCCTTAATAGGACTGAGGGAGCAGTGACTGGTCACCCCTCTGCAATGTCACTCATGATCCCTCCTGAATCTTTTGAGTGACTAGTCTGGTAGGAAATGACAACAGAGTGCTGATGAGATTAGCACTTCTTGCTCTTCATAGTGTAAAAACCCCAGGACTAACTCATTCTTCAAGCTCCTCAGTGACTAATAGTTGTTTTATCATCCTTTCAATTAGAAAGCACTTATCAGCAATCTTTGCTAGCTCACTGCATGAATTGACCTGTCATTCACTGTCTCAGCCCTTGGAACTGGTAATTAAATTTAGCAATCTGCCTCAGCAGCTCCAACTGAGATATGTGGTATATTTCCATGTGAATAGGCAGACACTTTGGGGTTTACTTCCCAACAGAAAGGTCTTTGGGAGAAGTGAAGAAGGGTCCCAGGAGATGCCCTGTGTCAGGAACCTGCAACCCTGAAAGCCTCGCAAGCAGAGCACAGTGGGTGGCACGGAGCAGCTCCACCATGGCTGGGGGTGGGCTGCAGAAGGGTATCAGTGGGGCCAACCTGACTACCCAGGGGGAGGAGCAGCTTTGTTTGGAGTTGGCCGCCATAAGCTGGGACCAGCACACAGTGCTCCCTAGCTGAGCATCTGCTTTATCCCTGATCTTTCCAAACTGCATGCTCTTGGAACAGTAAAGGAGATTTTCACTTTATTCTCAATGTTGAGGTATGTCAGCCTTGAATTCTGGGCACAGATACAAAGCTCTGAAGTCGGGGTGCCTCTTTGCTGTTGAGCAAGGGGCAAAGCAAAGCAGTTGCAGTGAAGTAATATGTGATGAAATCCAGGGATCAAGTACCCTGACACAGGTCCTACATCTTCTCTGATACAGTTCTCCTCAGTGCCGGCAGAGGACACGTCCTGTTGGCAGTGTAAACAACAACAACAAATGTAAGCCAGCCTCCTGCTGAAGGAAGATTTTTAAGGGGGCTGGCCCTACGGAAAAGTGACAGAACTGCAGTGGCACGGTGTGATTTGCCATGCTAACCCAGGGGTAATGCCACAGGTATTGCTGACATCGAGGCTGCACGCCTGCTGTTATCTCTGGCCTGTCCAGGTATCATTTTCTTTTTCAGATAAGATGAAATTTGCAGACTGCTTACTCTAAAGCCATACTGCTGGTCAAGGAGCTTTGCCCCTCATCTGCACCTGCAGCTGACAATAGTTGATAGGGGCTGATTTTCAGTAGCTAGCCCACTGTTTGTTTAACTAACCTTTACTCTGACGAATAATCTTCCCACACAACCCTCTTCACAACTGGCAAGGGGTACAGAAATGCCAGGGTCCCCATTACTCACTCCAAAATCAGGTTCAAGTTGCCTGGCTTCGGGTTTTGGAGGAAAGGCACAATGTGCAGAGTTCACTGAACCCCACAGAAGATTTGGATTTGAATTTTTCTGGAGCTGCCCTAAAATATTTCTTACTGTTTCTGAAAATATTCTTTACTCTGTTTTACCACAGGAAATATCCTAAGGGGATTTTCCTGCTTCTTCTTTTTCCCCTCCTTTCACTACACCAGGTTTGTCTCCCTGCTGTCTTAAGGAGACCACCTACAACTTAAGGAAATAAAGATCTCTCTGAAAAAATACAGGCAAACCTGATATTTAAGGGTCAGCTCCCCACAATATTTATCTAGTTGTCTGAGCTGGTC